TTTTCATAATATAGCCTGAATTATAGGCAATGCCTCTTGTGCTATTGTTAGGAGTCTTGAGATATTAGAATTATCATCAAATGATAATGTTGGATGATAGAGGCGGCACAGCTTTGGACAATTGGAGATTAGCTGACATTATAATTGCATGAAAACAAACTTATCGCGACTCCGGATTGCGTATGGTGTCCGCACAGAATAATTTTTCATAATATAGCCTGAATTATAGGCAATGCCTCTTGTGCTATTGTTAGGAGTCTTGAGATATTAGAATTATCATCAAATGATAATGTTGGATGATAGAGGCGGCACAGCTTTGGACAATTGGAGATTAGCTGACATTATAATTGCATGAAAACAAACTTATCGAAGAATTGATCATTTGACACTCCACATAGATATTGCTGATGACTTTTTTAGGTCATCTTGGCATCTCTAATAATTCTTAGTTTTGATAGATTTCTCTCAACAGTATGCCATACATCTTGAGATTCCCCTGGGCTTGTCATGTAGTTTTCTTTTCGGCTACTTGTTATTTTCTTTTAAAACAATTGATCTTCTTTCACTTGATCTTTTGAAGCCACCTCTCTTTTGGGGCAACCTCCATTTCTTTTTGTTTTTTAAAGCATTTTATCGTCACAACTACTTGTTATTCTCATCTATAACAATTGATCCTCTTTCAATTGATGTTTTCAATCATGTTGTAAGTTACAGAAATATGTAGAACTTTCTCTGGCTCATCTTCCAACTTGATGTTTTCATTTCAAAGATTCATTACTATGTTCCATTTTTTTTTGTCATCTTTTTTAGGCTTTCTGATGGTATCAATCTGATTAGGTTAGCTTGAATTTGACTATGGCTTCATTTCGGATGGCTTTATTCTTTATATTTTCTACTAAAATTTTTATTTTAGCTCTGAGAAAGTCGTCCCAAACTTAGCTTAAGGCTTCATTTGTGATGGTTTTCTTAGTGTTTTCTAAAGCAGATTTCTAGTACAAAAATTGTTTGTTCAAAAAATTTATGTACTAGAAAGCTGTTTTAAAAAGCAATAAAAAAGCTGGCTTCGTTTGGGACGGACGGTTTTTTTATTGCTTTTTAAATTAGCTTTCTAGTACAAAAACTTTAATTTTTGTATTAAAAAACTGTTTTAAGCAGCAGTAAAAAAGTTGTCCTAAATAAAGCATAAGTAGTTTTGAATTTTTTTTTTACATTATTTTCTATTTTTAGATTGATATTAACTTATTTTTTTTAGATATTTTTTATGTTGAGCATTTCTTGCTATTATATGCATCAGTGCTACAAAATTATCTAAGTTGAGCTGAGTCGAGTATTTGCCTAATCTAATTGAGTTTGTATAAGTAGTATCTCAGCTCATTCGAAATGAATAGGTTTGAGCGAAGCTGGAAAGCTCGAGCTCGACAAGATAAATAATTGTAACAATTTATTATATATTTTAATATAATATTTTAAATTTTCTTTTGAATTACATTTTAATTTAAATGGCCATCTCCACAAACTCACGAGTCAAATTGGGCTGAGCTCGAGCTTCAGTTTAAATTTGTGGCTCAACAAATCCGTCTTTTGAACTCATTATCGAGTTGAGTTGAGTTAGCTCATGAATTAGCCTCGTCAGTTTGTGAGCAAATTTATTTAAAAATATTATTATAAAATATTTTAGAATTTAATTATATCTCTTATTTCAAGTGTTTTTTATTAATTATCAATTAATTTTTTATTTTTCATTTTTAAATAATTCAATTATTCCTAATAGTTCAAATAATAATTATATATATAACGAGTATAAACGTCAATTTGAGCTCATAAAATTAAAATTAAATCGAAACTAAAATTGGATAAAAAATCAAATTAAACTACCACAACAAAAAAATAATTATACATTAAGCCTTGAATTTACAACCTCTTAAGTAAAAAGATGTTGAACCCTTAAACATCAAGGTGTCCGTTCGTGCAATGGTTAGAAATTTTATTAAGAAATTTTGTAGTTAAGGGATCCCATCTCTCGGATGGGTGATCTTCTATAAAGTTATACCAAATGAAGAAAACAAATAATTTCTTGATAGTTTAGAGTTTTGACTATTAGTTCAACTTTGCTTTATATTCTATCCTAATCGCTTATGAGCGAGGGAACCAATAAAGTTAATAAGCAATCAAAACTTAAAGCCTGAACTACACGGCGAATTATTATGTCTGGTCACAGAACGTTCAGACATCCAATTCAGACGCTCCACGTCACCCAAATACACTGAGTTCCTGTATATTTTGATGACGTGGAGCGTCTGGATTGGTGTCCGGACGAATCCGGACACCGGACGTAATAATTTGCCGAACCACACTATAAAAGAAGAGAACTAAGTCAATCACAAATAAGACAATATGCGAAGGAAGTCATGGGAAGGGGCAAGGATAGGATCAGCAACTTGCCTGAATCTGTTCTTAAGTAGAGATTGTTCTGTGCGATGTCCGAATGCGTCTGGAGGCCAATCCAGATGTGCCATGTCATCAAATGCACTATAAAAGGGGTGATGTGGCACCTCCGGATTAGCCTCCGGACGTGTCCGGACACCACATTTAACAATTTTTAGTTCTTCATAGCATACTCACCATGATGCCTCTGAAATCCACAATCAATCTGCAAAAGAGTTTGTAGAAACTGTCAACAGATATCTATTACTTCATGCAAGTAAAGAAGCTGGAGAGGTTCCATGTTTTCTTCTCTCCATTTGATTTGTTTGCATCTGATATAGAGAGGTGGATAAGTTTTGTTACAGGAAAAGGAGTTAGATATCCTTATATAGGTTTCGTTTGGGACGGCTTTCTTAATGCTTCGTAAAGCAGTTTTCTAGTATAAAAATTTTAATTTTATACTAAAAAGTTGCTTTAAAAAGCAAAAAAAAGTCGTCCCAAACGAAGCCATAGACTTATCCCAAGGATTTAAATGCAGAAAATTCGGTGAATACAGTGATGGCAGAAGCCTTTTTGAGCTGCCTTCTTCTCACTCAATGCTCTCTTCTTGAGGAAAAATTATTACATTCGGACAAAAATATCAAGCATATCGAGTGTACCGAGCGCGGTACCGAGTGCTGTACCGAGCACGGTACCGAGCACTTTAGTGATGTGGCGTTTTGTTATTGATCTCTGAATGCATTCGATGTCCGGACAGAATAATTACTCCTTGAGAACTTGAGTGTAAGGAGCTGTCAACAACTTGGTGCTATTAGCATTATGGTTCCAAATTTCAAACTCAAGAGGTTGATCATTCGGGTTTGCCGATTAACCGATTTGTAATTGAGCTCAGACGAGCGAGCGAGGGAGGAGGCAGGCGTGCTCTTATTCGAGCGAGCATATGCCCTTTTTGATTCTATACGATGCTTTAAATTTATTTTTAATTTGCATATGATGAAGATTATAGTGAGAGTCACAAATGAGTTATCACAAGTGCTGCAAAGAAAATATTCTGACATCATAAATGCCATGATTTTGAGAAAAGTATCTATGATATGAGAGATGATAGTTGGAATATTTTGCTTAAATATGTTTGTTTATTTTTTGAGGCAAATAATATAGTTATTCCAAATATGAATATTACTTTTGTAATGCAAGGAAGATCAAGGCAAAAAACTGAAGTAATCACAAATAAACATCATTATTAAGCTGAATTATTTTACATTGCAATAGATATGAAACTTCAAGAGCTCAATAACATATTTGATGAAATAAATACAGAGCTACTTATGTGAGCAGCATGTTTCAACCCATGTGATTTATTTTTGGCTTTTAATAAGGCACAATTAATAAGTATGTCAAAATTAACCCATCATATATTTTGAATATAGATTTCATTATATTAGACAACCAACTTGATATATTTTTTTATTGATATAAGATCTAGTGCTGCATTTAAGAATTTGGATAATTTGCTTCAAAACGAGCATAAATTAAGGTTTCGTTTGGAACGGCTTTTTTACTGCTTCTTAAAGCAGTTTTTTAGTATAAATAATTTAATTTTTTAACTAAAAAGCTGCTTTAAGAAGCAGAAAGAAAGCCTTTCCAAACGAAGCCTAAGAAGTATGAGATTTATCATTTGATGTTCCTATTTATAAAGTTTGTTTTGATTTTGCCAATTGCTCCTACAACAATCGAACAGACATTCTCAATTATGAAGCTATAAAAATTGTTTACGCAATTATATAAAAGACTTCTGGATGAATTGATTGTCTGATTACTTATATTGGAAAAGACATCTTTACCATCATTGATAATGAAATGTTTATACAATAATTTTAAAGCATAAAGATTCGAATAGAGAAATTGTAGGTAAATTGTATTCAAATTTGAAAAACAAATATTCTTCATTGTAAGTTTTTTTTTCTATATAATTTATCTTTTTAATAATGATGTGTTAAAAAAATTAAAACTGTCAATGCCGGTCTCAAGCCCAGACGAACAGGTTGAGAAATTTTTTAAAAAATTAATGATTTATGTCCCCATAAAAAGAAAAATTTGTCTCCAATGATGATTAAACATACTGCAATCTAAATTTTCATATATAATTTTAAAAAACTTATCCAACTAAGATAATATTTCTCTCAATCACAGGCTTATCCCAACTCAATCATGTTCCTAAGCATAGAAAGGACACTGTTACTATCTATGAATAATGCAACAATTATGTCTAAATCCAACCAGTGGTTCCCCACACTAAGCAAGTTGGGAGATCCCTTCCATTATTATCCTTTTTTTATGAAAAAATAATAATTTAATAAAATATTATTTTTAAATTTAATTTCAAAAATATTATACCACATACACTAGCTTTTTTTTTTTTTTTTCATAGAAAATTAAATTATAAATATTTAAAATTAGAGTTTAATTTAAATTCTTAATAAAATACTATATCAGAATATCCTAATTAATATGAATTCTAAATTATTTCATTATTTTGAAAAAAAAAAAGAATCCCTAAGAATAACTAATTAAAATTTATATTATGTTAATTTCAAAATAAATTGGAAGAAATAAAAAACTTAATCAGAATATCTTTCAATTTAACGCATTTATTTTTCAAGTGGGCCTTTCGCCTCCATTTACCTGAACCCATCAGCAGAGTAGGTGATGGAGCACTGCAACGATGGCGACGTTGACGGCGCCGGCGACGGCGACCTTACTGCAGCGCTAATGCTTACTGCCGCAGAAGCCTTCCTGGTACCATTGGCATCGGCGGAGGAGGAATCTTCATGGCGGATCTCACGGAGCAGAACGGCGACGTCTTTCATGGAAGGGCGGTCGTCGGGGCGGTGGCTGGCGCAGAGGAGAGCGATGCCGAGGGCTTGGAGCATTTCTTGGACCTGGGTGTCGGGCCGGCCCTGGAGTCTCGGGTCGAGGAGCTCGACTGGGTCGCGCTGGAGGCGGAGGCGGTCGCGGACCCAACCGGCGACGGTCTGGCCCTCGCCGAAGCTGCCCTCGGCCGGCCGCCGGCCGGTTATTATTTCCAGTAACAGGACGCCGAAGCTGAATACGTCGGATTTCTTCGTTATTCGCATCATGCAACCGTACTCTGCATTCGATCCGTTGCATTTGTGTCAGTGGCATAATCCGCAGGGAAAGAGATGATTGAAATTAATATTATATTTTTTAAAATTGTTTTTAAAAAATATAAAAAGTTCAAACTTGAATTTATAAAAAGTTAAAAAATTTGTAGTATTTATTTTATTATATTATTCTAAAATTAATTTTGAAATATATTTTAATTTAAATGAACAACTCAACAACTTACAAGCCAAGTCAGATTGGGCTTGAGCATAGGCTCAAACTCGGCTCATTGGTTTACTAATGAGTAGGTCGAGTTCGAGCAAGCTCGCAAATTGGATAAATTATTCTGTGCGGACACCGAACGCTGTCCATAGATCAACTAGAATGCACTACGTCACCCCCCGCTCGGTACTGCTTATGTGACGCATTCTAGTAAGTCTCCAGACAGTGAACTGCTATCGGCGCCCGTACAGAATAATTTCTCCACAAATTGACTCCGCTCACTTACACTCTCAGAGCTAGGATTAATTATTCTGTGCGGATGTTGAATGTCGTTCGGAGACCAACCAGAATGCGTCACATCACCCCTTGCACAGTACTGCGGCTCGATACCACTGACATGACGCATTCTGATTGGTACCTGGATGATATTCTGCATCTGAAATCTGTGCTTATATATATATATAATTAAATTTACCGGGCAAACTCGTAAGAAACTTTGGGGTAAAACCGTAAACAAGGTTAGAATAAAACAGAGGGAGGTTAGTGTTACCTGGTGCAATGTAGCCGTAAGATCCGGCGAACGGCGGCTGCACGGCTGCTGGTCCACCACCACTTGTATCGCCGGCGACACAAGCTACACCAAAATCAGCGAGGCAAGCCTCGTACCTATCCCCAAGAAGAACATTATCGGCTTTGACATCACGGTGAATGATCGCTGGAACGCAGTCATGGTGTAGATAAGCTAAACCTTCCGCCACACCAATCGCAATGCCGAGCCTCACCTCCCACTCCATCGCAGCCGCAGCTCCTCTCCCACCTAAAGCACCGCCATGGAGGAACTCCCCAAGTGTCCCATTCGGCAGGAAGTCGTAGAACAAGAGTCTTGTTCTCCGATTCGCCGCCCATCCCAGCAATCGAACGATGTTTCGGTGTCGGACCCTGGCTAGTGAGGCGATCTCGGTTCCGGCAGCTGCAGCCACAGCCATGTCGTCGCCGATTCGGAATTTCTTAACGGCAATGAGAGTTCCGGTGGATGGAACTCGGGCTGAGTAGACGACGCCAGAACGGCCCTTTCCGACGGAGTTCGCTGGCGTAAGGTTTCTTGTAATGTCGGCGACGACAATGTCCAGTTTTTGGTACAGCGTTACTTCCCATGGAGGTGCAAGCTCCCCGTCTTTCTCTTCATCGACAGTGTTTCCGATTCCGGTGGCTCGCCGGCGGCTGAGGAAGATGAGAAGGGCCATGCCGAGAAATACTACAGCAGCGGAGAGCAAAGTAGCAGTGGCAATGTGCGCGGCACGCCTGGAGATTGCTCGGTTGGCATTGGCGGTATCGTCGATGCAGCCGGCGAGGCAGAGCTCGGGGTTGCCTGCGAGATCGATGATGGGGAGCTTGGAGAAAAAGGAGGAGTTTGGGATGCGGCCAGTGAAGTTGTTGAAAGATATGTCGAGGGTGACAAGGTTTTGGAGGACGGCGAGAGGGTGGAGATCACCGGAGAAATGGTTGTGTGAGAGGTCGAGAATGGCGAGCCGGCTGAGCCCGGAAAAGTCATGCGGGATCTCTCCGGAGAGGCTATTCCAGCTTAGATTTAAGGCGATCTCCAGCGCTGGGACCTTTCCAAGACTCGCCGGGATCTCCCCAGACAGAGCGTTGCTGCTGAGATCTAGCAATTGGAGACGAAAGCAGGATCCAATCTCCGTCGGGATCTGACCAGAGAATCGGTTTCCAGAGAGGATCAGCTTCGTCATGGAGGCAAGCAAGCCGAGATTAGAGGGAAGTTCGCCGCTTATGAGGTTTTTGGAGAGGTCGAGGAACTGGAGCAGAGCAAGGCCCTCAAAGAGAGTGTAGGGAAGGGTTCCGGCGATGGCGTTTCCATGGAGGTCGAGGAAGGTGAGATTTCGGCAGCTAGAGAACTCCGCAGGGATCGGCCCCGAAAGCCGGTTTGAGCCCAGATCAAGGAAACTGAGATTCTTCAATCCGCCAATCTCAACCGGGATTTTCCCGGTGATCCTGTTCCCACTAGCCCGGAACCGGATCAACGACTTGCACTTGCCGATACTCGGCGGTATCTCTCCGGAAAGATCATTATCAAGTAGGAGCAGCTTGCCCAGCATTGGTAGCGAGAAAATTCCCTTCGGGATTGGACCGGTTAGGGCGTTCTGGGAGAGGTCTACTGCTTCTAGATTCGTGCATCCGGCGAGTTCCTCTGGAATGCCGCCTTCGAGCCTGTTCTGCCATAGGTACAGAGTTTGGAGATTGTCCAATCGACCGAGGTCCGGCGGGATGGTGCCGGAGATCTGGTTGTTATCGAGCTCTAGGTCTGTTAAATTCCGGCAATGGGAAATCGTTGGAGGAATGGACCCAGAAATCTGGTTCATGCTTAACTGGAGCTCCTGGAGGCTGGTGATGTTACCTAGCGTGCCAGGAATCCCTCCAGTGAGTCCATTAATGGAAAGATCGACAACTTCGAGCTCTAAACACAAACCAAGTTCAGGCGGGATCATCCCAACAAAATTGTTCTGCCAAAGCAGAAGATTCTTCAGTTTCTTGAGCCGGCCGAGGGCCGGTGGAATGGAGCCGGTCATCGAATTCTCATATAGGTAAATGTTCTGAAGCTCGCCGCATTGGCCTAGTTCCGGCGGTATTGGACCGGACAGCAGCGCGGTATAAACCGCCAGTGTCTGTAACTGCTGAAGCAAACCAAGACTCGCCGGCAGGGACCCTGTGATGCTGGTCTCCGCAAGGCCAATCATGGTAAGGCTACTACAGTTCCCAATTTCTTCCGGCAATGCGCCGATTAGATTCTTATTACCTCCGGCACGGAAGACCTCCATTTTGCCAAGCCGCCCAATGCTCGCCGGAATCGTTCCGGCGAGCTGGTTGTCGTAAAGAATGAGCAACTGTAGATCAGTGAGATTGCCAATGGCATCCGGGATTCCTCCCTCAAGCCGATTGGAGTTGAGGAGAAGTCTCTGTAATCTACTCCCCGGGCGAAACAGCGACACAGGTATCTCGCCGGAAAGAGCGTTGTCGCTGAGATCGAGGTGGCTGAGCTGCGGTAGCTCGCCCAGCTCCGGCGGGATAGGGCCAGTGAGGTTAGTACCGGATAGTACTAGCATAGTTAATGACGGAGCTATTGCTGTAAGATTGCTCGGCACACTCCCGATCAGATCAATGTACTGCAAATTAATCCCAACAACACGGCCGTCAGGACCACAGGAAACCCCAAACCATCCGCATGGATTAGGATCCAGCTCACTCCAATTGGAAAGCCCGGCTTCCACTGACGATCCGTTTAGTGTCCTCTTCCATGCGAGTAGAGCTGCACCCTGTCCATTAATGGCCGCAGCGGCGCTGCTCGATAGAAGCAGCAGCAAAAGAAAAAAAAAGCAGAGTAGGCATTGCAGTAAGAAGGGGAAAAAGAAGAGGGGTTTTGATGTAGGCGGCAAGGCTGCTCCATCGACAACTCCTCTACTACTAGGGAGCATGTTTCTTTCTCGCTTTGCTCGCTTACTTTGGAAATGGAGATTGGTGTAATCGAGACGAAGACGATGGAGTAAAGAAGATGGGAGAGCGGAGCATCACTGGTGCTCTGTAAGCTTTAAGAATTTAAAACTGGAAAGATTCGATTTTTAGGGCTCACTTTACAGTTTAAATAATCGGAGAAGAAGATGGCGGAGAATTAGAAATAGGGAAAATTTCAGAATCTCCGGATCCAAGAAGACACTACAGCGATCACGTGGTGGCGGGCGAAGAGATGGAATTTGGGTGGATCGGAGAAGAGAGAGTGGCGATTCTATAACCATCTTCATGGGGTTAATAATATTGTACTGTGGAGATGGATTTAGTAATGGTGAAAGAGGGAGAGTTTCTTAGAAGGTTTGTAGGGGATGTAAATTTTATTAGGATAAATTTGAAAGTTATGTTTATTTTTAGAGTTTGTGATAAAAAAAAAATTGAAGGGCAGGTCAAAAATTAGGGCGGTTAAAATCGGGTCACGGATTAAGTTCATGTCTATTCCGAAACTAACCCGGCACTGTTCGATCCTACCCGAACCCGACCCTTGTTTTGCAAATGGGTCGGTTGACCCAAACCCGACCCGCCAAGTGAGCCCCCTTCGTTGCTGTTAGACTTCATTGTTCGCTCATTGGACGACATTCTCTTCCCGTTGGATTGAAAGTTACAATATTTTGATCTGAAGCACCAAAGCAACGACGGGAGTTCGCTCGTTGTCTAGCCGGCTCCTTCGTTGTTGTTCAACTTCGCTCTTTGGATGATGTTCTCTTCCCGTTGGATCAGAGTTATAACATTTTGATCGGAAGCAACGACGGGAGTTTGCTCGTTGTGAAGGAGTCGCCGCCTTCTCGGCTCCTTCGTTGCTGTTCGACTTCGCTCCTTGGACGACGTTCCCTTCTGGTCGCATCGGAAGTTACAACATTTTGATAGGAAGCAACGACGGGAGTTCTCTCGTTGTGAAGAACTTTCTCTGTTTCGTGCGCTTCTTCGATCGAATCCGGTAAATACGCCGATCTGTGTCAAAAATCGAGTTATTATCAGGTTTCTGATTGAACCCGGAATTCGAAACTAGTTGAAATCAGGACCCGAACCTAAAATTTTTGTGTCGGATTTAGATTGTGTCCAATATCAAAAATAAAGTTTTTTTGTGAAAAAAAAAAATTGTAAGCTTTTTTGTTCTTTTTGAACCATCAGCACATTCAAATTGAAATATTTATCTGCCCATCTATTAGAGAGAAGCCCTGCATGCCTGTGTGTTTGTGCTTCGCCTATGCAAGCCCACTGATCATTCTCTCGTGTGCATGATGGGTTGCATTATCGGGAAATGCACTCCATGCTTTGTTGCTTGTCACTTGCATGCCTAGAAGATGAAATATTCTTATTCCTAAACCGGCCTTCGAAGCGAAAAATTATTATGTGCGGTGTCCGGACGCATCCTGATTTCAATTCGGATGCACCACGTCACACAATGCATAGTGCATTGGATAATGTAGCGCGTCCGGATTGACCTCCTGATGCGTTCGTACACTGTATATAATAATCTCTCCTTCGAAGCGCACACGTGAGTTGTGTGTATGCTATGATAATTTCAGGCGAGATTAGCAAGGCACATGCCTGCCGGTTGGTGGTGATCGACGGTCGGTGATGATGGCGGAAGATGAGAACGCCATAAACCACACCTTATAATAGTTATCCAGTTTTCATATATGGTCTAGATATGTTGTAATATTTAACAAATTAGGTTCGAATTCGACATAAAGTTTTTTAATCCAATCAATCTTAACTCGTCATGTTTAATAAATATATCAAAAAAGTGAACTCGAACCCGGCCCACTACAAACCCAATGACTCGAGCCTGATTTGATAATCCATTTAATTAAAAAAATACAACTTATAAACTATAAAGTTTAGGTTAATGGATCAAAAAAACTAAGAGCATACTAATAAATAAAAGAATTTTTTAAGGAAAAAATAATAATAAATTGGTCACTATCAAGTTCGTAGGTCAACCCAAACCTAACACACCAATTAAACGAATTAAAATTCTAAAAATGCGAACCCGACTCATAAATTAAATAGGTCAACTCCAACAATCTGAATGTTTATGGTCGTGTCCATGTCGGGCTGTCAGGTCGAATCATTTATTGACACTGCTCGCCAACATTCGACCGTGCCGATGACGACAGACGGCATTAATAATCATTTTTATAATAATACACTTGAGATTATAACCCCTTAAGTGACATAGTTTCATTGGGTCAAGAGAATTTCATAGCCAATTATGTGAATTTTTATCTGCATTTGTTAATATTCCTTTTTAAAACCACCCCAAAAGATCTTTAATTAATTACCATTAATAAAATTTGATGCATAAAAACCTTTGATGGCATAAATTTGATCATTATTTAATTATGCATGATAAAATATGTTTTGAATAGAGGTATTTTAGCTCTTATCTTTTTTTTTTTTTTGTTTTTTTGTCTTTTTTTTTTTTTTTTTTTGAAAAAATTGGTAAAAAAAAAAAAAAAAAACCATTGTATGATTAAAATTTTATGCAATGATATGTTGATGTTATTTGCATCGGAATAGGTTTAGGAGTTATTAGATTTACATTGAGATTAGTGTTTATATATAATATCATAAACTGCACTAATCTTAGTGTACATTTAAGAGCTCGACAATACGTTCTGATTGATGCAAATTACGTTAGGGCGTCCTCATGCAATTTTTTTTTTCAATAGAAAAAGTAGTATTTTTGATGATTATGTTAAATCTCATATTATTAACATAATGCTTGGTGGCTGCAATATACTCTAAAATTATGTCAATAGATATTGATGCATGATACATTAGGAATGGACTTCAAAGCTCTTGAGTTTATGTTGAGATTAGTGTTGTATATGATATCATGATTCACACTAATCTCAATGCAAATCCAAGAATTTTGAACCCAATTCTGATACATTTTTCGATGAAGATATCTTGACTCAATTTTTTTTTTTTCAGATTAGTCCAATTCTAAAAAATTAAAGCAATTCGTAGACTTCTGAGTAGAGCTATACTCTCCATGGGAGGAGAGATTATTACTTGCGGAGTTCGAACTAGGGAGAACCGTCCGATTTTTTGTGAGTGTGAGCAGTAAAAGCACAGTTACTGTTCACCATTGAGATTTTACTAAGCTTTTGCTGAGCACACTCACAAAAAATGGACGTAGCTTCGATTCAGACTTCGCACAGTAATTAGCGTTTGTAATTAACATTTTCTCTTTCTACCTCTATCTTATTATATCTCTCCAATGAAAATTCATTTTTTGTTTTCTTCCTTCATAATTTTCCTCAAAACCTAATTTTGGGCCTAACAAAATCTTAAATAATTGCAAAATCATGAACAACAACCCTTCTCATCCAACAAAGAGATCCCTTAATTATTATTCTAACCTACTCTCCTTTATAATATATAAAAATGCATAATATAAATAATAATCATAAATTAGCATTTGTAAACATATTTAAAAAGACTATAGATCTAATTAAATAATGAAAAAAAATTATGTAAGAATATCCTGATATCTAATTAACATGATAGGTTTTAATACTCTTAGATATGAGTGTCAAATTGGGTTGGTGGGTCGACTTCGGATGATCTGAAATTGACCCGAATCGAATCCAATCAACACAAACCTCTACCTATTGAATAAATGGGTCAAAAAATCAACTAGAACTCGACCCTCTAGCAACCCGACGGACCCATTAACCAGTTTTGATAAAAAATTTATAACTCATTAATCATAAATTTTATAATATTTGATACATAATAAGAGTAAAAAAAAAATTTAAACTAGTCATTTTGGGTTAAAAGTAGTTTCATGAGTCAACCCGAAACTGCCCATTTTAAAAAAACAAGCCGGAAACCTCAACCCAAACCCAAATTTTTCCAATCAGGTCATTGATTAACACCCATACCCTTAGATTTACTCTGAGATTAGTACTGCATATGATATCGAAAGCTACACTAATCTCAAAGCCCATCATGCTGCAAAATCATTCAAAATATTTTTACATAAAATTTTAAAATATTATAAGAAAATTATTATATTAAAAAATGTTTTTGAAAGTAGTTATTAGTGGGGGCTATTAATGTCTGATTAAACAATCTTATGCACCATGATTTAGCTGTTATAGAGGACATGTCGGATCTAGATTCCAATTCTCAGATCTACTCTTCCTTCTCTATTTCACCCACAAGAAAATATATTTTATTTTATTTTATTTGGGATGAAATTTTTAGCTCGAAAATTAAAGATCATTAGAAGTTAAATTATTTTTTAATTGAAAAAAAATTTATGTTAGGATAGGTTGACTAAAACTGATTAGGGAAAGGCTTGAAGTCTTGAGATCTACTTTGAGATTTGTGTTATATTTGTTTATCGTGTATTGTACTAATCTTAAAGCACATCTAACTAGGGCAATTTTCGAGTTGTTTTTTGAGTTGGGTTGGGATCTGATTGAGAAAAAAGATGAGTAGGAATATATTGACTAATTTTTGCAAGGTTTCGCTTCAATGCCGTTAGATTTGCTTTGAGATGAGTGCAGTATGTAGAGAACTAATCAAATTTTGTATTGGGCTAATTTCAAATACACTGTATTTCTTTTACTATGTATTCCTTTTTCAGCAAACCGAACAGCATCTAAACATTTCTAAGATTGAAGCTCTAATCATTCACAACCCTAATATTTCAAAATACAGGCTTCATTTGGGATAGCTTTCTTACTGTTTTCTAAAGCAGTTTTTTTTTTTTGTACAAAAAATATCTTGAACTTAACAAAAAAACTATTTTAAAAAGCAGAAAGAAAGCTATCCCAAATGAAATCTTAACTATCACGAGGTGACCCATCTTTGTAGATTTATCGAATTTCTTCCAATAATTTTAGACACCCAAAAAGATAAGAATCTCACTAATATAGTTCTAAACATATAATAATTTAAATTTTGAATATTTGATACCACAACAAGATATATAAAGATAAATAATTTAGGAAGTTGATCCATCTTTATGCATGTGATGAGAAAAGGGTGATAGGGGAGGAAAGAATCTGTGCATGTGATATGGTTGATAGTAGAGCACGTGGAACTGAATGGGATGAAGTATTTGCATATTTGAATTTAGGGTTTAGTGTGTGGACCTATTAATAGTGTCAAAATAGGTTAAACGGGTTTGATTCGGGTCTGATTTGGAATTGACCTGATTTAAATCCAGTTGACACAGATATGTCCTGTCTAATAAACATGTCAAAACGGTGCTTCAGCCCGAAATCAAATTAAACGGGTCTCTTTCGAGTAAAAGTAAAATATACGAGTCAGCCCGAATCGAACCCGTTTATTAAACGGGCCAACCAAAACCTAAATTTTTCAGATCAACTCGGCGAATTGGGTCATTTATTGACACCCCATATAAGTTTTTATAGAAGACAAAATGATCAAATCAAGATCAAAACCATGACTAATTAATTCACTTGAAAATCATGTGCAACAATTAGATCAAGAAGATCAAATCATAAACTCAACAACTAATAAGTTCTCCATCTAAATGTGAACTCCACATATGAATGTATCTCCAAAACTAAATAGACAAAAGCTTCGTTTGGAATAGCTTTCTTAATACTTTCTAAAACAGCTTTTTACTAGAAATTTTTGTACTAACAAGTTGTTTTAGAAAGCAGTAAGAAAGCTATCCTAAATGAAGTCAAAGTTAAAGAGAAAGAAAGAAAGAGATTATCAAAAACAACTTAACAAAATTCAATATGGTTTCTTAACAACATTATTGCTCTTTAGTGCCGAAAGAAGGAAAGAGCTTTAGGCCATTACCCATAAAATCCGCATAGGCACTTCATCCACTATATATTACCTCTAATATATATATGATAATTTGGCTTATTTGACTGCTTTATGCAGTGTTGATGGTGTTTTATGATATTAATAGTGGTGGATGACTCAAAAGACTAATCAAACAAAGATTACAACAAATCATGATTAAAGTAACCTTAAATATTGATTAGTGATGCTTAATTTGTTTCACTTTGCTTGCATTGATTTGGATAAATGATAATAGATTAGTAGTAAAAGTAGTAATAATTAAGGGTGAAATCCATATAATTGTTTTTAAAGTTCATTTGGTTAATGATTATCAACTTAAATTGTATAGATTTAGGCTTCGTTTGAGACGGTTTTTATACCGCTTCTTAAAGCAGCTTTCTATTACAAAAATTTTAATTATTGAACTAAAAAGATGTTTTAAGAAGCAGGAAAAAGTCGTCCCAAACGAAGCCTTATGCGCCAATCTTACTTAATTTGACATTTAGGTTTCATTTGGGACGAGTTTTTATTGCTTTTTAAAACAGCTTTCTAGTACAAAAGTTGAATTTTTTGTACTCGAAAACTGCTTTAAGAAGCACTAAAACAGCCGTCCCAAACGAAGCCTTAATATGAAATATTTTTCATATCATATCTTCAACTTTCAATTAATATCAGAGTCTTCGTTCCTATTTTAGAATAACATTGCAAATTTAAAATTATTATGTTATATATTATTATAATTCTTTTGGTTATTCACACATGATTAACAAGTTACATTTTAATTTTTCATAATTGCAATAAAATTTTGATATTTTTATGATGTATTAATTACAAACTTTGGTATATTATTTTGAATGATTGCCTTTTATCATTTTTATTTAATAAAATAAAATTAAATAATTAGTATGTCAAGTCTATTAATTATTTTGGATTTGTTCTAAGAGGTTACATCTTTTAGAGAATTATTTAAATCTCAATTTCTTCTTAAACTTCTTTTTGTTGAAATGTTATTTTCTTAATATGTAAGGATTGTTGTCTCGGGTTCCGGGTTAGACTTTTCGACTCGTTTACATATCTGGGTCGGGTTAGAGTTGACCCTTTTGAACCCCAGGTCAGCTCGGTTCCAACCCGAAACATGGTTTTGACACCCCTAATAGACATTATACTTTATTTAAAACTAAAAAATCTCAATGCTTAAAACAAACAAATAAAAACAAGATTTTGAAATGTTTTTCATGTGAAAGCAATCAAATGTGGCTCAATTTAAATAATTTAAATCATATGGTTATAAATAGCCTAACGGAGAAGATATAAGTTTCAAAAGCCTTAACTCAAAAGGAATTTGAATTTTATGAGTATTAAGATATATATTTATATTTATTTATTTATTTATTTATTTATTTATTTATTTTGACATGGCAATTTTGTAATTTATTTTGGACATGATGCAGTTCATGATGAACACATAACAAACATGGGATACACGGATCATTAGGTTATTGATTTGGGGCTCACTAGTTGACATCATATATTGTAGAGATATTGTGAGGTGCACATATATTACTAAGACTTCATTTGTTATGGCTTTCTTTCTGCTTCTTAAAGCAGCTTTTTTGTACAAAAATTAAAATTTGTGTACTAAAATGCTATTATAAGAAGCAGTAAGAAAGCCGTCCCAAGCGAAATCTTAGGCTTCATTTGAGACAGCTTTCTTATTGCTTTTTAAAGCAACTTTTACTGAATATGATAGTAAAACCCTGAAAATAACCATGCAACGCCACTAATGTCTCTCTCTTAAAATGCATGCAAGTCATGTCTCCTTTTTTTTCCACTTATTAAGAACCTTTCCCATGGCATGCCAAGTGCTCCCAATGATCCATGTTTAACCATGCAAATGATGGCTAAGTGATGCTTAATTACATAATTAAGGTTTTAATTATAGCTAAAATTATGTAATTATAAACTTATACAAGGAAATGATGCTCCTTTATACAATAAATTTATTTTTCAAGTTAATTTATGATCACTTCTATCCTCCACATGTAATTGAAAGCTTGAATTGAAGGCAAGGAAAGTAGAATCAATAAGGCTTCGTTTGGGACGATTTTTTTTTTTTTGCTTCTTAAAACAGCTTTCTAATATAATAATTTTAATTTTTGTACTAGAAAGCTGCTTTATAAAGCAATAAGAAAGCCATTTCAAACGAAGCCTAAATTTCTAATAATTTATTGATTGTTTATGAATATGTAAACAATGATCTAAAGAACATTCCTCAAATGTTGGGATAAAGAGCATTCCTCAATCAACATGAAAGTCGATCAAACAAGAGAAAAAAACTCTAATAGATTTAGTCTACAAGCATCACATTTCTCCAATTTAGTCAATAGATTATACAAAATCGATCACAAATGATCCCTCAAATAGAAATGATGAAAATCAGGATACAAAATTGGTCCTAATTTAATCCCAAGGAATCATTTCGGATCAATTTTATCTAATTGATGAACTAAACTGGAGAAATGCAATACTAATGAACTAAATTGATCCAGAGGATCATTTTAGACTTTTTTTCTAAATCAAAATGACAAAAAAACTTATTAAAATGAACAATGCAATTGAATATTACACCAATTCAAATAACATCAAATAGAATTTCTATTTTGTCACAGTTTCTTCTGAATATATATTGAAATTTTACAGCAAAAAACAGAACTACAGAATCAGGTCCAGCAGATAAGGACCATCTGCAGAACATAAATCCATCTTCCTAAACTCTCATGGCTTCAGAAATCAGAAAGGAAATACCTCCTCATTGATTAGGTTGCTCCAATCCCGCAAAAGTTAATTTTCTTTGGGAGATAAATAATCAGCAGCAATAACTAAACTCCTCTGAGGAATCAAGAACACAAAATACAAATCATTCAAATTAGATTTGCCTTCTTCAAGAATCTGATGGTTCTGCAGTAATAAGGCCATATGGATTCAATACAATCCAGATATTTGTCCACTGCCCATCCCTGCACCTGCTTGATCTTACTTCTGAAGAACTCCTTGTGATCCATGTTCTTGATGTCTGCAAATGGCTTGATTAAATAGAACCAGAGAGTTGATTGAAGCTTTCCTTCAACGATGTAGCTGTGAAGAAGAAGACAGTAGGCTGGAAGATTTTTCACAAGATTTACTGCTTGCATGAAGCAGAAAGTATAGAGAGAGCAAAGGCCCTTTATGATATTTATATAGAGGGCAAGGACTAATGGCCCAATAATCCAAAGAGGGGTCAATTCTTTAGTGACTTCAGCTCCATACACTATTCTGATCGTCAAAAACCAGGGGATGCTGCAACAATAAATAGTAATAAAGGTCAGTTGATCTCATTGTAGAAATTACTGAATGAAAATCTAGAACGAAATTGACCAAGTGCATGTTTTTGAAAGAATGAAGAGACTTCTGTTTTGGTTCAGTGGATGGGAAATTGGGAATGCATACAATCATGATATATTACAATTATGAATAGATAGGAATGATGCTTTCTGAAAAAGAGGTTTAGAATCCGTTTGGGACGGTTTTCTTATAGCTTCTTAAAGCAGTTAAATTTTTCTATTAAAAAACTGCTTTAAGAAGTAGTAAGAAAGTCGTCCCAAACGAAACCTTGTAATCACAAAAGATTGAAGGCAGTGAAAGAGGAGGCAATTAACTTATCACAAAGATCAAGCCAAACTTTGGAGATGGATGGCATTCTCTAAAATACTACTAACTTGCTTTTAACTATATATTGAAAATTCAATAGAGATGAGGTCCTATTTGGGGTGGCAGTAGCTGAAAAGGTAGCTATCAAATTGTTATATGAAAAAAATAAAAGTTTCTGCGGGTACTATGAATTTTTCCCTTTTTGAAGAAGTAAGACAAATTTCTTATAACTAAGGCTTCATTTGGAACGGCTTTCCTTTTGCTTTCTAAAACAACATTACAGTACAAAATTTTCTTGAATTTGAAATTTTTTACTAAAAAACCATTTTAAAAAGCATTATGAAAGCTGTCCCAAACAAAGCCTAAAACACTGACATATCTTGTTGTAAAAAGTTATTTCTACGACATGAGAAGCAGCAAGAAAGTTTTAGACAAACAAAAATGTGACACCCATGTGTAAAACAAAGTTATGAGAAAGCTGCAACAAACCAAACTAAGTTAAATGATCCGGCAAGAACCCAAGATCTTATCATGAATGTATCGCATAATGGAGAACAAACAAAATATTACCGAACTGCTACTATTCAGCTAGCAAGCCATGATAGAGGAAACCAGCTGAAAATGAAATGCAATGGATTTCCAACTATATAAGAGTGACGTATGGTAAGTAAAAGTAATCACAAAAACTGCATATGATTATAGCCTGAAAACTATAAATAGTACCACTAATATACTTACAATATCACCAATGGAAGGCTAATTGAAGCATCCAGCCTGAGAAAGTACATGAAGGAAACCTGCAGCAATTTCAAGGCCTTTGAACTCACTGTTACTTGCTTATACTCAGGAACTTCGCTCTTAAATGGTTTTTCCTCAAAAGCCTCGCATACTTTTGGACTAGATGTCTGTGTTGTTAACATGATAAGCCACTTTCTGAACAATTTTTGTATCGCAAGAGATCCACCATTGGAATCTTCTCTTTCTTGGGACTCAAAGGATAGATGATTTTGTGCATCAAAAGACTCTGTAGTGGTTTCTTCTATCTCCTTCTGCGTTGGGGAAAGCTGAAAAGGGGCCTTAGCTAATCTTGAACTTCTGTGTCTGCTGTCTGATCCATCATTTTGTGAATTGCCTTTAAAAGATAAGACCATAAGAGTTCTTCTCTTAGCCAGGACAGAATGAGCGCTGGTAAAGTAAGAACAAACGGTTAGGGGAGTTTTTGAAACAAGAGAGAACATCTGGAATAGCTTTTATTAGATGAGATATTAAAATAACAAAGAATGAGCTTGAAAGTGAATTATTTAAACAAAAATGAACCAGTATAATGTAAGAGAATCAGCAAATAACTTAGAAATAAGGATATTTAAACACAAAAAGTGAAGTGCGAAGTAAATGCTCAATGATAATGTATTTCTATCAATAACACCTAAATTAGAACTGCATAAATTGATAACAAAAGAGCATTATAAAGTTGATTATATCTCACAAATGCAAGGCAGCTTCTGCAGTGATAAAATAAATCTGAGAAATCTTAGCTGTTACTTGATGAAATATAGGTCCAACAAATCAAAATGTTCATGTAGAAACAAACTTACCTCAGGCATAGCCGGTGTTTCAATGACACAAAATTATCCCTTCTGCTAACATGAAAAGAAGCAAAAGATCCCAAATTGATCCCTCTCTTGCATGATTTAGGTCTCAAAAACAGGGAAGGATGAGGGCCCTGAAGCATGCAATGCAACAAATTAGTGATAATTGTACTAACTATCATGACCATATCACTCAACAACGAATCCAAAGTTAAAAAACAAAAAGAAGACAGCCAAATTAGCATTCACCAGCACCAACATACACATATTTACAAATACAATCCTCTAAAAAGACTATGAATTGATGTCAAGAATGACAAAAGGTAAATAAGGCCAAGCATTAAAGACCAAGGAAAGATTCTAAACACGTCGTTCCCGACTCTGGTTAAAGAAAAGAGACGCATAAAAATTTAGCAAAAAAAAAAACATAACATGTTATGTGTTACCTGTATTTGGAGATCCATTGATACCATTGCCCACTATATTAAATCATTATTCAGAGCACAAACTTTGGGGCATTGACTTCAGAAGATAAAAACTATTATTTGCTTCCTGAAACACAAAGTTAATAATTATGAATATGAGGACAATAAACACTTGAACAGAAAATATAACAAAGTCAATAGTTTAATGTCACTACATCTAACATTTGGTATATTCAACATAAGCTCTTAACAATCATTTTTTCTATTATTTTAAATGTTCATTAGTACATATAATATAAGAGATTGAAATCTGCAAATAGATAAACATGTAAGAATATGTGACTCAAAATAAAAAAAGCTTTGAATATAACAAGAGTCAAACAAACTAACAAAGCTCAGAAAATACTTGAAAGCATGTTGAAAAACGATGTAATATAGAGAGATTTAAATCAAATTAACTAAATCAAGCTGAGGAACAGCAATGCAACAACAACACCATGAATAAACTTCCCCAAGTAGCAGAGATGCCACACTGCGACATTTTTGCAACATTAACTGAGAAATTAATCCAGTCTGAACGAGAGGGTTATGCCTTTTGTTTGATAGAATCACAGGCAAAGTATGCACATTGCAAGCTGGATCTTTCAGTCTACCAATTTGTCCTTGGATACAACTCAAGCTCCTGATGTTGATCCGATATAAAAAACAGAATTGGCAACCACTTGGAGAACCTATAACGTTCTTGTTAAGCAGCATACAAACCAAAATGCACTTTCAATAATGTATCAGTAATTTTAGATTTCTGTCCAAAACCAGACTAGATTATACAAACAGGTATCACAGAAAAATAAAGATAACCAATCCAAACTACTGACATGGATTAGCCTCAACTAAACCAGTACTGTTTCATTAAATCAGATAATAGATGTATTCAGACATTGCGGATTCTATTTCTAGATACTCTAAGAAGACCCCATCTATTAATTCTATTAATGCCACAGTCCTAATATATATATAATGAAAGAGAGAGAGAGAGAGAGAGAGAGAGAGAGAGAGAGAGAGAGAGAAGGATGGGCAAGAATTGGAAAAATATTAGCAATTTTTTAAACCCTTTTTAAACCACAGCACAAGGTTTTAATTCCTCTAGATGTCAAATTAATTATGAAATACACATAAAGAATCAATATTAGTTTAGAGAACTACTTGCCTCATTTCTCTTAGATGAACTGAAGAATTGCATGTAAGGATCACGAAGCTTGTCTGACAATAAAAAATAAAAAATGGGATGGGATATCCAGACCAAAATTAGGTTAAAATGGATTTTAAAACCTCTGAATTTGCTTTAAGATGATTGCAATATATGCTTAACCAATAAACTTTTATATTACATTCATGTTACCGTAAATCTTAAGGACTTCAAACTTCATCCTAACTAAATTATAATCAAAATATCCTTACACAACTTCTTATCCTTTACCCAAAAATAAACAGAATGCCATCTTTCAAGCAAAGGGACTTCACCAAAGTTTAGCAAATTATTTCATAAGAGTTTAATAAAAAGGTGAATGAAGTCACCAATCAACTTATTCAAAGCTTGCAAAGAACAGTAATAATGTATTCATAAAAATGGCAAACTCAAGTTTATAGGTACATTGCTTTTGCAAAATGAAGTAACTATATTTCTCCCCTAATAGCTTTCAGTCATGAAGAAGATGATTAGTCTATTGTACGGAAAAAAGGAAAACAACTATGAAGATTATTGAATCTAAGTTCATGATTATCTAGTTGCATTCTCAAAATATGTGCATCCCCATCCCCATAGAGATGTTATTGCATGACAAGTTTGTAATATATCATTGCAACATGCTATGTAATCTAGAATTGGGGCATAATGGCGGGCTCTAACGACAGGTGAATGTTACAAGATGTAAAGATGCTTCCCATGACAATTTAACAAAAGTTCAGACCTTTGAGCCACAGTAGACCAAAGGCTGCCACTAGATCTAAAGAATCTTTTGTGATTAGCACTGCCCAGGTAGGTCTCTCTGGTGGATCCCTTTATTTATAGGCCACCAGAAAATGCGAGTATTGCTTGGAGTACAAATGTAAAATGAAAAAAGCCATCTCATATGCCTTGAGTGCTGCTCTAAAAAATTATGATTTTTAGTTGCATGAAACTAGAAGGTTGTCTAAACGCACATTTCCAAATTTGAGAGACTTGATTTCAAGCAACAAAGGTATTATGGAATCAATATAAACTCCAAATTCAACAAAAACATTTTAGTGTAAAAGGAACTTCAGAGAACGGCAACGAGAAGCCACAAAAATTATCATTAATAATTCCAAAAAAATTCAAAAAAATGCTCAGCTTGTTTTTAGCAAAAACTACAGAACCCTAAGTTATGAACTATGAAGGATAACAGCTTTCTTAAATGTGAGAAGTGGCACATGCTTAAAAGAGCAATGCAAGTTGTTGAGGACGCCATCCACTCTGCATGCCTTTGATGCGACAAAAATTTAGAAGCACCGATGTTACGGTAAACCACGCACGCCACCATTGCTCCACATGGTGCATGCACACCCCAATCTAGTGCTCATAAATCGATTATGTTTAAACTAACACTTCACTCTATGCCTGCAGTGGCGAAGATTATTATTGCTTGACCAATTTTTGTTCCAATAGGTTTACACAGTTGTCTCCTCCTTGTTTTCTAGTATACTATAATCTTCTCCAATCCTCTAATCTATAGTCACAGAAGACAGACTACTCTCAGGCTTATCGTTTGCCCTCTCTAGTGTTTATGATTTCATTTTCCTGCTCTATTTCCAAATGCTCAACAAAGACATTTTAGTGATTTTCCTCCAATTTTGAATTCTATTTGCTAGTTCTTCTTTAAAAAAAAAGAGTTACAGAGGTCAGATTTTTTCTTTTGTCCTGTGAATGAGATTGTTATGCTTGAACCGGCCCAGGAGGGGCCGGCTGGACCCGGTCCGACCCAGGTCTACACCAGGCGGAGGCGGAAACCAATAAAAGAAGGGGGGCGGACAAGGTGGGCCCCACTTGGGGCTGATTTAATTATGTGGGAGGAAAAATTTTGAATGCAAAGGGCTGTTTAGGTATTTGGTAGGAATCCATTATTGTTAATTAGGAGGATTAGGAGGGAAAGGGGGTTATCTTGAATTTGAATGTAATTGGAGATCTAGGGTTTCTTGCTTGGGCTCTTGGCGTTGCCGGAGATTGTCGGAGAGTCGTTCTTCCTCTCGAATCGAAGAACATTGTATCTTGCTTTTGTTTTGATCATCTACTAGTGGAATATAAGTCCATTGCTTGTGTTTCACTCAGATTTCCTACAGATTTTTCTGTTTTCTACTGTTTTCCTGCGTTTTGGGCTGATTTCCTGCTGAAAAACAGCAAATCTATTGTTGTTTTCCCCACTCAAATTGATAGGAATACTTGGAATACTTGGATCTAAGTATTTCCTATCAAATTGGTATCAGAGCGAGATCCGGGCGGTGGAGGGCTGTTTTTTCCACTGTTTCGCTGCAGATTTTCGCAGATTTTGGGTTGTCGGAGGCTGTTTTCCCCTGAAAGCAGCAGTTTTTTGGATTTTTTAGAGCAACAGTTGAGTAAAACAGCAGGTTTTGACTGTTTGGAGGGAGATTCTTGCTGTCCGGAAGAGTTCCCTTGCGTTCCGGAGGCATCTCTTTGGTTCCCATGGCATCTAAGCGGGTAGAAGTCTTGGAGACCGAGATGGGTCAATTTAAAGCGGATCTGGAGGAGAAGATGGCGACATTGAGCGAGAATGTGGAAGGGAAATTCATGGCCTTGGAGGATATGATGAAAAAGTTGTTGGAAGGGCAAGCAAGGGCTGTGCCAGCGGAGGAAAGAGGAGAAGGTAGTGGGAGCAAGGGTAAGGAGAAGGTGAATCCAGAAGAGGAAGAGG